TATATATGAATCATTTAAAAATTTATCAATTACAAAATAAATTTTATATTTAGTAATATGGAATAAACATTTTCATTTTGTCCCTACACTACATCTATTGCACATTAATCCTTTCGTTATACCATTATAAATTCTCTTAGTTATTACTAATTATTGCAAACGTTATTCACATTCTTTAACATTCTTTAGTTATAATATTAGGAATTATCATAGTTATTAAATTAAATATTTCTATCTTTCATCTTTTCTTGTATTAACTTTTGACCAATAATTTTTCATATTATTACACCGCCCCTATATATGTGATAACACAATATTGTTATTTTTTCTGGGATGAATCATGCTTGATTATATAAATTGAAAATCGTTTACAAGTATATGAACTACATATTTGTTGGGTGTAAGATAAACATGTGATTATACATATGATTTCATATATAGAGTATATTCTTTAATTTTAATTTTTAATTTTTTGGGTAAAAAAAAGGAAACATTTCTCAGTTAACTATGGACAGTCGAATAACTATTTTTGATTTATGCATACAGTCAATCGAGAAGTCAAATATGAGAGTTAACAACAAGAACGTCATTTATTATGTTATAACTGATAAAATAAAAATTAATATACAAAGATTAGTTCTAAAAAATAAAATGTAGTTGTTCTTTTTACATGTTCATATGACATTTAAACAGATTAACGTGGAATACACGTGCAAAGCACATCTGGTTAGATGACAAGAAAAATACACAACAAATATCGTCTATAAGGTAATATTACTGAGATACGACTAATTACATAATTGAACCTCATCAAATTGAAATAAATATATGCATTATTGCATTTAACTAATACATTTTTTCATTGATCATCTTTATAGATTCGTGTGAATAAGAGATATATATGACGATCCATATTGAACATTCACAAAAAAATCTGCAATATTATTTTGGGCAAAGTTTATTATTCAAATCTTCACTTAAATAAGCAATATTATTTACCATAACATATATTTTCTGAATTGATAATCACGTGCAACGCACGTATCGAAAAACTAGTTATGTAAAATGAGCTAGAATAATTTATGTTGTCAAAGCCTGCATGCACGTTATGATGAAAACAAATTAGTCAAATTAATTAAAATAAATAATAATTCAAATGTATAAGTAAAATTTACGAGTAAGAAATATCTCTTGGCATGACTTGGTTAACCCAAAGAGAAAATGTGGGATGACTTTACAAGAAGTGGGATAAGAATATCCAATTGAAAATTGGGATCTAAAAATAAAAACAAAGTAGACAAACAAAAAGTAGGAGGTGGTCCCTTTGGAAATCAATATGTGATCATCTATCAATCCAAAGTAATGGAACTTCTAGGGGTTTTGCAGCTTAGGTCTGAATAAGTTTCATTACCCATTCATTAGGCTATAGTCTTTCTTTTAGGCATTCAACATCGAAAATTAGTAGTTCGATTAATTTGAATTCATATCAAATAAATATATTAAAGGAGATAAATCGCTCTTTATTAATTACATAGCATTTTATTTTCAATAAATATTAATTTTTAAGATAATTATTTGAAAGTATAATTGATCCAAACACATTGTCAAAATGTGCAAGTTTTTAAATTTAGACTTTACCAAATTTAGCCACAAACATATTGATATCTCTTTTTCATCTCTCTTCCCTACACACTCAAAACACACACACGCGCCTTTTCTTTGCACATTTTATTCTTTGTTCATCTTTGGCATTCTTAAATGTGATTTTATTACTATAGAAATTTGGTGATAGCTAAGTCATTGGTTGTTTCTCAGATGAGGGTGATTATTGAAGCAATTGGTGCTAGCGACAGTCTAATTTGTTTGCTTGGGTTGTTCGGAGTGAAATAAATGGTCACATATGTATACTGAGTGTATAATATGGTATATCAAGTTTTTAAATATTTTGTAGAAAATAAAATATGAAAGCTTTATATATTTATTGTATATCGAATATATGATATTGTATACCAATTATGTTGTGGGCTATATTCTTGCGATGTAAGTTAGGTAATTGTATATTTTTGAAATTTTTTCATAATCTTTTGTATTCTTGTTTTGTAATCTGGGTGTTAGCCTCTATAATTATACGAAAAAGGATCATATTTGCTTTTGTACTATCCAAAAAAGGTTATTTTAACACCCCCCCCACCCCACCCAAAAGTATATTTTTCCTTTATCATTTAACTTTGAGTACATATTTTTCTTTAGACGATTAACTCTCATGTTCTTACCCTTATTATCTTATGTGGCGTCTACAATCTATATGGATATGTTTTTATCTTAATTAAAATTTTCCCTCATATCCACCCCAACTAACTCAATAAATTCATTTCCCTTGAGATGATTAAGCTCAAGTTCATCGACACTTCTTCAATGGTCTACATGTTTTTAGTGCATGCCTTCAGAGTCTTGCATTTATTTTGGGGATTTATTATTTTATTTTGGGCAACTTTCACCAAACATAAAAATTATATTTGTATATTATAGCTGTAGTTTGCATAATTGTGCTTCATAGCAAATTTTATGTTTGCTATGGAGTTTTTGATTTGTATAATTCGCTAGATACATCCAATTTTATACAAATTGTTCAGTTTTGTATAAATTCATTTATACATTGTAATTTGTATAATAAGATTTGTATTTGTATAATTATAAGTGTATAGGACAAAAATATATGTATATGTATTTGTATATACACTTTTCTCTCGCTTTATACAAACACAAACGCATTTTATACATTTGTATACCGAATGGTTAATCGTATACCGAACCAGATGCAAAAAAAATGGGATGTTTGTTGCGAATTACAAATAAAATAAACTATGACTATAGCATTTAATTTGAATTAATAGTTTGTTATTTCATACAATTTTCCCATAAAAGAAACTATGGCTATAGCATTTAATTTGAATTAATAGTTTGCTATATCATACAATTTGTCCTTTTAAAAACTAGATGTGGAAAGATCTGTTTACAGCCCATAACACAGTTGAAAAATGAAAAAAATAGTAATTAGACAAATATTTCTACAATATTTACTAATTTTCTCCATGTTTGGAAATATTATCTCACTAGTTAATAATTTCATATCAAATTTCAAATCAAATACACCTAAATACATGTATTTTTGCTATCAGATACACTAAATTAGAGAGAGGCGAGCGAGATCCCCAGATACATGCGAATCAAACTAGAACATATATCTAGATACAAGAAGCAGGGAGAGAGGCAAGCGAAAAAGTCAGCTACATGTGAATCTACTTGGATACAATGTATCTAGAACAAATGACACATAATTTTGACCTCATGTATCCAAGACATATGCATTTGAACACATCTGAATACGTCAAATACATGTATCTGAAATCCAAAAATTGATAAGATTCATAATATTATAAACTAACCTGAATCTAAGTAATTAGGTCATAAGCTAGCTAGTAAAACTTCTGTAAGTTACCCTTGAAAATTACTCATGGAAGGATGAAGCAATGAATTAAAGTCACGTGTTTTTTGAACAATTTATAAAGCTGCATATATACTAAAATTACACCTTGCCATTTTTACGTGTAAATATAGATGGTTTATTCGATTTTACTATTGTTTACCATCTTTTCAATTTTAAAAGTAGATGGTCTATCTTTTTTAAATAGAAAATTGACGATTTTGTGAGAGATCAATTTATTAAGACGGCAATTATTTACCGTCAAATAATTCAAGTAAGCAAATAGCAAACATGACAATAAAATTGTTCTTCTCCTAGCTAGTTAGAAGGCCATAAAAGATATATTGTCCGTCAATTATCTACCCAATTACATGAAATAGAAAATCTCATAATAATCCTATAGTATAATTGGAAAGAAGCTTTTTGTAGAATTTTAATTCAAACACCAGATGAGGTAGGAAACAATGAACCAAACAGTTGATAAAAAGTAATTTTTATACTACTAACCTCAACGTTACTAATCTTTATGTTATTAATTTTTGTACCAAACAATTCCTAAATGTGTTACCAAATAATGTTTGGCTCCTCATAGCCACGTGGATAACTATGTTCAAAGGTTATAAATTGTCCAGAATGATGAGATAAATGGACCCAACATACATCGAAGTCATAGGAAAATATCTAAAATGTCATTATGTTAGTTGTGAAATTATGATTATATCCTAGGTCGTTCTTAACTTCATTCTCTTTTTTTTCCTATTTGGTGTCTGAGTATCGCATTAGAATTTGACTATTTCGGATTCTCGTCACATAGGATCACATTTGGGGAAGCATTTCCTTCAAAGGATTTTACATATTTAGGACTTGAACTCAAGACCTCTAATTAAGGAAGGAACAAATATTGCATACCTGATGCACCACATCCGTTGGTGGTCCTTAACTTCATACTTCTATGTAATGGAAAAAATAATGGAAAAATAATTAATTTAATAATATAATATTAAAATATATCAATCTTATTTATGCTTGAAAGTAAAAAACAAATCCAAACCAGAACATGCTTAATTAAATTCCAACCATACCTGCAAAAAGGTTCATTGCCCATACCCCATAGTCTTTAAAGTCTTTAGACTTGATAGACTCCTTCACATTACTGCATATGCATTGACCTTTTCCTCTCTACTTCTCCACAAACTTGAAATTGTCGGCATGTTTCTAAATATATCTAGATAACAAAGCAAGTCTAGTTTTAGAATCTTCTATTTTACTTCACAACACTTCTAATATCTATTTTGTGCTTTTTTTCACCCTATGTTTAATATTTGTTTTTTTGAAATTTAACTAATTTAGATTCACATCGAAAAGTTCTACTTCAAGAATAAAACACTTTATATAAATGATTTTCATTATCTAAATTCAAACTTAAAATCTCTAATTAAAAATTTATAGGTACTTAGCACGGTAGCACCCCACCACTATCTCATGAGTGGTCCATTTTTATCTTAGAACACCTCCCCACAATTCCCACCCACCAAAGAAAAAATGAAGCTAAAAACCAGCACACATTCAAATTTTAATTTATTGTAATTTGTACACTTTGCTTTCTATGGCAACCATTTTTTTGGAATTTGTAAGAACTTGTACATCATTTGCGGAGGCAATTTACTATAAACTAGCTTAAAATGCAACTCATCTCCTAATGAAAAAAAATACAAGTGATCTTTTTTTTGTTTATTACCATCAAAATAGGAAAATTAAAATGATATTTTTAGAAGTTGACCCATAGAAAATTTCAGTATTATTTTCACATACGGAGGATGCCGAAGAATATTTTTAATGAAACTTCTGGACCGCAGGTATTGGTAATTGGATACACTATAATGTTTCAATCATCAAGTTTTTCTTCTATTTCTTTATTATATTGTGTAATACAACATATGGTTCTCCAATTTTAACTAATATTTTAATTCTTCTAGCCACGGAGTTCTTGATTTCCTAGACAATAATTATTTAAAGAAAAGTTTCTAAGAAGCAACCTTCTGATTTTTCAGAGTGGCTAGATTCGGTAAAGTGGACCACATTCTCTTGTTGTTATCATAAAGAAAATGACTAATAAACTCCCATACCTTGAGGGGTAGGGGGCAATACATATTGTTTTTATTTATAGAAATAACCAAACTCAACCTTTCTTATGTAATGAAACGTCACAGTTTGAGAAAAAAGATAGATTTTCTTTCGTTTTTTTTCCACTTTACACAGACATTCTATAACTAGAAGAAATGAATTTGAAGATATATGATGTTGCTACTTAAGTTGGGAAATTTTCTAAGTGTGGAATAGTGGAACTTACTTGCAAGAGTTCTATTCCTTTTCATGCGTATCGAATAAATCAAAATTCATTAAATGTCTAACACTCCTTTGTGACTTTATTACACATGTAGATGAAATATGTGTGCATCATATAGTTGCCCTACACTTCACTCAAAATATCTTTCTCTATGCTTATCTTAAAATTTATTTATCCATTAGGATTAATTAAACAAGGGGCAAGCCTGGTTTTTATGTTTCTAGTTGTCCATTCAACAGATATGATTGAGATATAATATTCTTACCCGTGTATCGGCTACTGCCTTTTGCTCTTTGCTGAAATTTGAACATTGATCTTTTATGATTTTCATCCCACATCATTAACTGGTGGACCATACCCTGGTGTGCCATAGAGGGAAATAACGAAAACCACTAAGCTGTACAAACCTGTGCAAAATAAAGAGTTCTTCATGTATAATGTCAGTCGTATTTAAGACACTAAAAAACAATATGGGACCCCAATACTTCTATGTATATACACATAATGAGGTATCGTACTGTATTTTGAACTTGTGATTGATGTGAAGCTGTTATACATGTCCTAAAAAGAAGACCACCAACCTCCAAATTAGTGAGGTCACAAATTCATATCCACCTTGTAAAGTGAATCACTACACATAGTGAGTGCATTCCCAGCTAAGAAACGAATCAAATCTCCAGTAAAACTGATTCATTTGGTGCATCTATCTGACCACCAAAACCACAAGATAAGATGTTGATAAAAGTCAATGAATGGTTACCTAACTGGGTACCCCCTGAATCTCATACCATCATGAAAACTGATTGCTTGCAAATCTGTGTGCTCCCAAAATACTACTCTTCGAGGGGGCCGATCGATAATGTGCAGTCACTTATCAATGGCCCTACTCCAAGACCATATTAGAGGAAATTCAAGGGGAATCGATAACAAAATTTGAAACTACACGTAGTGACTTGGGTCCTGTCACAGTTGATAGGCAAAGTGCATAGCAAACATGAACAGGCTGCGTTACTTGTAAGCATCTCAAAGGCAGTAATCATTCATTTTAGCTTACTACAATTACCATAGTTAAAAAAAAAAGGGAATGAGAAGAGGTGGAAAATGGAAAGTTGAGAGGGACAAGCACACTGGAATGACAGCACAAATTGGACCACCACCTACAAAAAGTATCACAATTCTTTCTATCCTTTGCACCCTGTCTATTTCACCGGGTACTTTTACCTCCCATCAAGACAATTATCAAATAACTTTGTCCATAAAAACAAAACTTAGACGGATAGGAAGAAACCACCTACTACTTATTTTTTTGTTTATGCTGGGACACCAAAGTAAACTCCGCTTGAATTACGTGGCCCAATCTGAGTTGTCCAATGCCCCAGAAGAAAGGAATACCTGGCAAAAACTCATCACTCACATGCATGCAGTGAGTTGCACTAAATGTATGAGAGAGAAAGAGAAACTAAGATAGAGAAGAGGGAGGGGGCCCAAAATTTTCCTGACAAAACTGATCTTGATATACCAGCAAGAGAAATAGAAAATTCACCATAATCGAGCCAACCATAAAAGAAAATGAAAGCTGCACTGCACCTTACAAGAAAAAAAAAGTATGCAAGGGAACATGGTAAAAAAACTAACTTTTAACACCACTATTTCTTCTTACTCTTTGAATCATCTATCCCCCGCATCCTCCTATCAGTCCCCACCCCTACCCCCACGTTCCCTCTCTCTTTACATCTGCATATGTAAAGGTCTGTGTCTGCCTCACTCCATAATGCTTGACTAAGCTCCTCTTAAGTTTCAAATGCTCAGTGGATGAACCAGTAACAAATCATGTATGCAAAATATGCTACTAGATGAATATGCAAAGTTCTTCGTTATAGCTTTCACCATCTATTTCCCTTTTTCCTAATCCTATTTCATACTTTGCATTCAAATCCATCTTTCATCACAGAAATTTCAGGTCCTTCAGTTGCTAGCTCAATCATGTATAATTTTCCGTGTTTTTTCAGGAAACAATAAAGATGGAAGCAGCTGCTCTGTTAGAAATTTTTGAAGCAGTAGGCTTTTGAGATCTCAGGAGAGGACTACCTCTGTTAGCTTCACAATGCCAGTTCCGCTTGCTCCATATCCTACACCACCAACACCATTTACACCACCTGCTAACGGTACAGCATTTTTCCTTAACTATTTTCTGCCTGATAATAATACATAGAAAGAAATGAAAAGGATGGTCATGCATAACAATGAGATAAGATTGATGGTTACGGCCAGAAGATCAAAGAGTTCATATCTTAAATCTCCAGTCCTAAAATCCAAATCAAAGTTCAATTTAGTATTTGTAGATGAAGTGTAAAAAATAAATCAAACAGTATTTATTAAATAGACCAAATCAATTAAGACAAGGTCAGGGACACCAATACTTTATTTACAGCCATGACTAGTAACTTGTTAATTGCTCAATAAATCTGAATTCAACTTCAGCTTTCTAGTGAAACAGCCTCACAGTCCAGGAGGATCAAGACACTTGACAAAATAGTGTAAACAACGCCATACCAAAATTACCTTGTTTTACAATATATCTTACGAAGAAATATGGTGGCTAGCAGGTACGCAGAGCCAGCTTGTGTGCTCTGGATGCAGAAATCTTTTACTCTATCCAGTTGGAGCAACATCTGTTTGCTGTGCAGTTTGCAATGCAGTAACAGCAGTACCACCTCCGGGTATGCACGTTATTAGACAGCCTCAACATTTTGGAACTTTTTTGTTTTGAGAATGGTAAAACAGTATTATATCAATATAAGATGCCTACACAAGTTGTGTAGTCACCCAGACCAACAGTGATTACAATTGGAAGACCCAAATAGCTTTCTATGACCCTGTTTAGATTGGCTTTTGGCTTTTGGCTTTTGACTTATAAGCCACAAGCCATATGTTAGAAATTCTAACTCATGGCTTTTGGCTTATTTTACCATTTTAGCTTTAAAACTAAGTGCTTATAAGCACTTTTTTAAGTTATCCAAACACTCCAAAAGTGCTTAAAAATTGTTTTGGCTTAAAAGCACTTAAAATAAGCCAATCCAAACGGGTAATCTACTAAAACATCAAAAATTGATTCTGCTTCTTCTAAACCTTCTTGTTTACACCAAAATAGTAAAGAACTAAACAATTCATCTTTAACTTCTATAAGGGATTTCCTATGTCTTCAAAGCATCTCTGATTTCTTTCCTTAAATATGTCCACCAAATACATGTTGGGACAATCTTCCATCTCTCCTTTTGACTGAATAATCTTCCTTCCCTGTTCGAGCTAACTAGAACATCAGTTAATCCTTGTGGCATCACATGCCTCTTAGATTAATGAAAATTTTCTAAAGCTGATCAGCCCATTTACAGTGTAAAAAGATATGATTGACTGTCTAAGCTTGCTCACCACAAAAGTAACATCTGGAACATAATTGGAAACCCCTCCAGGTTAAGTTGTCCTGAGTAAGGACTGCCCCTTTAGCTAGTATCCATACAAAAGCATGGAATCTTGACTTTCCATATCAGCTTCCATGGCCAGCATTCCACTAAATTGTTCAATCTGTTCAGCTCTCTGTAAGCTGACTTGACTGAGAATATTTTTAACTCTTTATTTAAGCTCCTTAAGTTGTATTAGGCTTAATTAAGCAACAGCCCCTTTACATGTTACGGACCTTAAACAGGCACTGAGATGGCTCAGTTGGTTTGTGGAGGCTGCCACACATTACTAATGTACATTCGTGGAGCAACAAGCGTGCAATGTTCGTGCTGTCACACAGTCAATTTAGCTATGGAAGGTAAAGTGACACTACAGCCTTTTGAAATGTATGGAGATATTTCATATAATCCACTTAGTTACACATCCTTACTAGTCAAAGTAAGAATAATGGTATTGTCACAGCAAATCAGGTAGCACATGTGAATTGTGGCAACTGCCGCATGCTGCTGATGTACCAATATGGAGCACGATCAGTGAAATGTGCAGTGTGCAATTTTGTGACATCGGTAGGGGTAAGTATAAAATCCTCTTTAGTATTAAGCCTTCAATCTTTCATGTTGCGTCAATGATGAACCGGTATTCCGACACTAAAAAAAATCTGCAGTTCAAATACTAAATTACCAGGATTTAATCCTACTTCAACAGTAACAGTATAATTGTTCATCTTGGAACATAGCACAGAAGATATTGAATTGTAACATTGAATAGTAGTGTGAATTTCTAACAAAATCTTATACAACTTCCCTTTTCAAATTAGAACATAAACCAGGACCTGCATATGGCATGTAAGCTTACAAAAACAACCAAAAAGAATGAAAATGTAACCTGTTAAGCTTTGATCCACAAGAGCAGGACTTGACGACCAAACAAATTATTCTAAGACAGCCTGCCCTGTATTTTCTTTATGCAAGAATCATATAGTGAAGGTTAGCACAAAGACTAGTATTCTTACTGAGCCTAAGCACCTTAAACCTTCCAAGCAAATTACTTAAAAGAGGCACCACAGGTTCATTCTCTTTGCTCCCTTCTCTCGAATATTCAGAATATGGTATAACAAAGCTCCAATGGAGCCACTACAAACATGTTAACCTTAATGGACCACATGCCGATTGAAAAATCTTAAGCAGTTAAGAGGCTAAAAGTATCTCCAATTTAGCACTTGGTATAAAGGCCTAAAAATGTAAAATGCCTGCAAAAGGTTCCTGCAAGTTAAATCAAGACAATATCATTTGCTCAAGCAGTCTTTGTTTTCTGTTGATTTCCAATAATACTACATGGACCAGTATAACCTGATGCTCATAAGGAAGTGTGTCATTTTCTCTTCTTCTTCCTTGAAAAGGTTACAGAAATAGCACTAGTCATAGTCTCAGCTGCGATAGTAGCAATGTGCATATTAGTGCTCCTTCCTCTTACACAACTCATGTCTGTTACACTACAAAAGATTAAGGCTCCATAGTATTAAGTCCAATACGTCACTATCAATTATCAATCAATCAACTATGCCTCAATCCCAAATTAGTTAGGACTGGCTATATGAATCCTCTGTGTTCAAGCGGCTCTATCATTCCACTCTATCACCATGTCACTGTGATGAAATTTAATAAAACCTATCGGTACAACTACTATGCAACGAAACCAGTAATGATTTAGTTCCACAAATTTCTTCTCCTCCTCTCAAATCGGGTCAAGTTACACTTGTCCAAGTCGACTCCATAGTGATACAATCAGCTAAGCCTTATTTGGCCACCCCTGGAGCATTGAAGTATAGTGTTCGGAGACCCACAGTTAGTAATTATTATTGTTCCAACTTTGTCAAAAAAAAATTATTATTGTTCCAATCACTGTATAAATCATACAAAAAATTCTGAGGCCTTTATAGCATTCCTACTTCATTTTTAATCATACTTGACAAAATGTTCTCTGGACAATACAGGTTTCAACGAGCACAGCTGAGCAAAAGTTTAACAGCTAACTTTAGAGCAGCTGAGCCAGTGCTAGAAACTTCTATGACTAAAGTTGTCGTGTTATGTGTCAGCGGCATTGCAGCTGCATCAACCGGAGGAAATTTCTACTTGCTACTAGGATAGAGCTATTACAGAGCTTTTTTTTCCCTCGTGCATCTGTAATAGAATAAGCAGTTTTGCAGGTTGAGCCTACAAAAGGTATTGTATATAATGGTATTGCGTTTGTAAGTCTGGTTGAAAAATCCTGGATAGCAAAGACTCCTTTTCACCTACCATATTATTGTTTTCATCTTGGGATACCATAAATACAACTTTAAAATGTCTTGATTGAAGCAATTTCAAGTTGGAAGGATAAGAGCACACCCCCGCACTGCCCCTGAATTAATCAGCCAAGTAAAAGTTGAAGTTCAGTTGGAATCCATATAGTCTAGTAGTTTTTTACTATGAATAGCCCCCTATTGTTGATAGAGAGCTTACCGCCCCGCCCTTTATAGTCGCGACTGTTGTCATGGAAAAAGAGTTTGTTTTCTGTCAAAGAAGCATGCTTAACACAGCCTATAGCATAAAGGCATTCGAGCCGCGTCTAAACTAAATGGTGGGCAAGGGCCCGTACTCTCTCTTCTGTGGATACGCTATCCCTTCCGGCTATGGTATGGGGAAGGGGAGGTGAGATCTACTCATTGATTTTATATTAGATGAGCGGCCGTACTATGATCGTTCGGGAGACATGGGCCCACGGCGCTACACACAAGAATGAATTGTTATGCGGTCGGTAAACTCTTTCCTTTCTGCGGGCAGCCTATCAAATCGGATCACGTATTTTGGAATATGTCGTTACATCATGTACATGTATTCGCCTTTCCATTATTTTTGATGTTCCTGCTCGTGCCCGGATAGAGAATGGGCACGACTCCCCCTCTCCCCGTTCTACCGTCCAAACAGGCCGGCCGTTCTAAGTTCCGGGGTTGGGTCGGATAGGACCAGATCCAATCGGATCTGATCGTAGCTTCGAGTTCAGGTGCCGTACTGCGGCCGGACCGGAAAGGAGGGGGACAGCGAACCTCCTGCCAAGAGGCCAAGGGTTCTTGCTAACTCTCAACCACTTGTTAGAAGGAAGTGCAGCTTGATTGTCGGGGGGAATCAACGGGAAGGAAAAAAGAAGGTAGATTATTCTATTCTATTTCCTCCTTTGGTAAGGATTGGCTTTTTGTTCAAGGGTATGTTAAAAACCATCGTCTTTTCTTTGTTTGTATCACCGAGACACCCGAAGGGCCGGCCATATGTACCTCGGGAGCCCCGGCCCATTCAAATCATGAAATAATGACTGTCAAATGAACTTTCTGGACTAGATTCATATCTACCATAAAACAAAACAAATGGGAGACATCAACATCTCATTCAGTCATTTGGTCAAGAATTAAAAATTGACTCTTTCAGATACGACGGTTGAATTATGAGACCTGAATGTCAATGTCAGATATTTTAGTTTAACAGAAGTAGATCAATGCCTCAACCAAACCACAAAAAATGCTGAGGGCTAAAGGAGGTACAGTTCTTACTATTAGATAGGTAATCCAGCCTGGTTTCTCTCTGCCACTAGTTCCTATGCCAGAACCCCCAGAAGAGAGTAGGGTATAATGGTCTCATCCCCTCTACCCTTCTCCAATTAAATACCCAACTTCTCTCTGTGGCATTCTCGAACTAGTAATCTGTGCTTAATCCATGCATCACATGTTGCGCTCTTACCACTAGACCAAAGGCCGTGGGCTATAGAGAGGAGTAAATCTCATGTTTCATCGTCCCATGAACTGAAGTAAGCATGTCAATTCAATATGCACATGTGTTCGAAAATTAGATACTTCAACCACATTGTTTAGTTTTTGTATGAGTTCCCTTGCTCATATCAGTAACCACAAGCTTTGGAAACTATATTCTTTTCTTAGTAACTATGACCACAGACAATATACAGGACATGCCCAGAACCGCTGCTCAATTCATCTCACCATTGCAGAAATTAGCTAACAAATTATGTAGCCTATGGATGTACAGTAACATTCTGTCTCTGTCCAAATGAAGATATTGAAGAAAGAAATCTACTAAATACATGGTTTCCACATGAATGGGAACTTTCATTAAATTCAGGACCAGTTAGATGAAAAAGATGCGCTTGATTTTACATCACATGATAGGATATCAGGAAAAACCTTAATTTGTTCATAATATGGTCCTTTCACATGGGTGATCGTGCTCCGACAGCTACACCGTTGATTTGAAAGAGAATCAAACTAAGCAGAAAATACCTTTACCTCAAAATGAAAATGATATGTTGACAAATGATGGAATTGAAATGGTCTTTAAAAGGTTCTTCAGTTTTCCTTCAAGTAGGCTATGTATTCGACCTTTTCTGAATGAGAAAAGATTAGGGTCATCTTTTCATCATTGAAAGAAGTCTTGATTGTTTAGTTTTTGCTTATTCTTATCTACTTCACGAAGTTGTCACCATCTTCCTATCGGATGAGTATGCAACATAGGACATATGCAATTTGGGGTCACATAACTATATTCTCTATTTCATGCTTACCTTTCTTATCCCTTCTGAATGGAAGAATAAGTACTAGTAGATCTTCCTAATTTTCCACCCTTGACATTGCAAGATGAACTTAAAAAGAAAGAATCAATATCTAAAGTTAGTATACTATGCAATCTACAAAATCTGAGAAAAGGAAAAAGAGATTCCATACAGTGGAATGTAATTCTATACTATTTTCCACATCATCTTACTAGCAGGATGGTGTATAGGTTACAATTTAACATCTTGCACCGGTAAGGAATCTAGCTGAACAATCTAGAGTATTTCAGCCTTGAATTTATGCAGTAGAGTCATGGCCATTTTCATTACTTTCTGAGGAGAATGACGGGGTCACTAAACTCACCGAACATGCTATCCTAAATGCTAATTATGTTTTTGTCATAAAAAAAAAATATGCTAATTATGTTTAACTTTCTGCTGCAAATATAGTTTAGTTTCATTTAATTTTCCAGATCAAATACTATTAGACAACATGGTATTCGTAAGAAAAGGTCAGTCTTTGGCATGCATCAGAGATTACTTTATTTTTGCATAATATATGTTGTGTTCACATGAGTGGTATATTCAAGAAGTTGGTTCGCCGGTCAAAGGGAAGAACAACATAGAGCTTCTGTAGTGAGACAATATCCAATTCCAAAAGATTTTCATCCATTAATTGATCAGAGTTAGAAGTTTTGTGAGTGTTCAATAATGCTCAATAACTAGAAAGTTCTCATTAATTGAGATGAAAGTGCACCACACGCTGATGTGATCTTCAAGACTATAAAGTATATTAAGGCATAACAAGATGTCATTAAGAAGGCACCTATCTTACGAGAAAAGAGTATAATTTTTTATTCAATATGCTAGTGGTACAAGAGAAAAGCCAATCCACTAAGGAAAAGGCACAGAGAGCATATTACACGCAGATATAGCAAGAGAGGCAAGAAAATTGTACATATTGCTTTTGATTCCATATTGTCTTCTCAAATTAACTCTTGACAGGTTACTCATCTCCCATAGCTAATTCCAAGGCATAGTCATCTCTCTCCTGCAACAGGGAAAGAAAAGTTAACCTTTAGGAACTTGACTTGATTATTATCCTTCCTTACATCATCAGTATCCCCTCTCCAACTTCTTTTCTAAATTAATAGGAGATTACAGGAACATAAGACTTACAATAGGTCCTCGAGCAAAATATCTCCCAAATTGAAGCCAATATACCTGAATATATCATGCTGTCAGGTTTCCGAGGTGGCATACTAGATCAAAACTACAAGACTGTTCATTTAGATAAAAGTTCATAAGGGAGTTCCGAAAATTGCTTTCAGTAACTTTTCTGTAAACCCCACCCTTTCATCTAACAAATTATAAGCAAAGCTTCATTTTCCACTTATTAAGAAAATACTGCAGGTAATTCATTAGCTACATTTTCTTTAAAGTTCAATGAGGAAATATAAATTACATCTGGTACTTGGAATACAATACTCACAACTTCAGTGCTCCACATAAAATAAAGCAGTTGGAAAGGTTATTATAATAATTGAAATATGAAAAGTTTGATGCAAGCTCACCTGAACATCACATCTCTCAAAGAAATTATGTGAAGCAACACACTATTAAAGAAACTGAAAGGCCAAAGAACAAGCATGTCTCTGCCTTTTTCCTAACCCTATTGGAACTCTATATTTTACTGGTTTCTTGTCCTGTAGGACCAGAGTCACAAACATGTTTCTGCTTCTTGACTAGTCCTCTAAGAGGACTATTTTTTGTCTTTCTGACCATTCAGAAGAAGAAGAATTATATTATCCTGTGGCCTATTTTTTGCCATTTGCTCATCATGGCATCAGCTTAGTTTAAGCAATTAATTAGTATAAACATATAAATATATCATAAGAAGTATAAAAATTGGAAGTCATTTCCTCCGCAACTCTTATGTATTACCATTTCCCTGGTCAAATTCTGTGTTTCGTAACTAGCTATCTACCATATTTATTGTGCATAAATTGGGGTATAGATTTGAGGCCAGGCTCGATTGACCGATGCACAGGTTGAGCAGGAATGTCATGAGATGAAACCAAAACAACTCAAAAGGGATTTTCTTTTTAAAAAAGACCTATTGTTTAGGCTAAAAGGGCCAGGCATTTCATTAACTCCATTTTAACCAATCTCTTTCCAAATACAGCAGCACTTTCTCTATTTATGTTTGCATGCTGTGTATTGAGAAACCTTTCACTTCATTTTCTTTTTTGAGGAATCTTCTTAATCAAAGGAACCATGTACGTCCTGGTTCCACGAAAGCAAGGATAATTGTCTATAATAGAAAATGAGAAAGAAGTTTAGAAAAGTAAAGAATGTACATTACACATAATGTCTTTGTGGTAGTGTGTGAGCTGCATGGATATGGCAATATTATTTTTTTTGAGAAAAGGGTAACTTTGTATTCATAGAAAAAAATCATCATCCAAGAAATGATGAATTGGAAACTTACATCCCATAGTGTGATGGGCCCACCCCATACAGTTAATCAGATTACAAGTTTCCTAAGAACTCAACTACTTCTACCACCTCCGGCACCAAATCTTGTTTACACCAAAAAAATAGAAGACTATAATACAGTTTGTTTTAATCCACTGACAAGTAATTTTCTGTCCTTCAA